TATTAAAAAGATCATCGGTTTAATGACAATTGAATCTTGATTCTATACTAAGAATGTATATTTTACAAATTATCAATTTCACACCACTTACGGTATCGTTTTCACACATTACCTTTTCACGTAAAATATTGATCTAAAATTTATATGCATGTAGGTAAAAGGATTATCATCATGTCGGTTACATACTGAACAGCTCAATTATCGGTTACAAACAATAATAATTCCCAAAATAATTTTTACTTGTTCATGATATTGATTATATTATACATGGTACTAATGCTTTATATAAAATAAGTGTTGGTATCCAGATGACACGGAACAAGGGGTGTTGCGTTATGGAGAGTAATGTGTGACTGGAAATGGTCTGCTAGTTGGTTGTTACCATGCGCCAGTAATGTTGGAGTACAGCAAGAAACTATTTATGTAATGCATGAATAAAGTTCGGGGTTTGTCGGGTAGTAAAATGATTATTGTACATTTTAAGTGCTCCCTCCAAGCATAAATGTAAGCTAAATTACGGTGATTAATGAGCGAAGATATGGTGACAACTATTACGAAGTTCCCTCTTTTCAAGAGGGGATGCAAATGCTTTGTGAAAATGAGTACGTGGCGGCCCGCGCGGTACTCATTTTCACAAAGGAATACACTCAGCTGGTTAGCTAACAATAGGCCTATGCAAATTTACATGAACACCTGGTAAGAAAGGTGCAATCACGTTCTGTTGCCTAGCCAGGGACGTAGCCAGGATTTTGAAAGGGGGGGAGCCGTTACATGAATTACGTATGACCCCGGCGGGGTCAAGGGGGCGAATCTCCCTGTGAAGTAGTGCACTCTGAACGTTCTTAGGACTGTTTGAGAGGATATAGTGAAAATTGCAATAGACGCATAATAAATAAGCGCAAAAATAATTATATAATAAATCAACAGTGGCAGATCCAGGAATTCGAAAGAGAGGTGAACCAGGGAGGGACATTCACAGAGTCTACTCACCTCAGCCCCACCATGGTTGGGGCTGAGGTAAGAAAATTTATGATTAGGGCATCTCTAGACGGCCGGAAATTACACTCTCGCACTTCAATTTGAATATACTTTTATTTTTTTTCCCCTTAATTATTTTTTTCCCCCTTAAAAAATGAAGTAGGGGGGGGGGGGCTTTGAATCCATCTCTGCTAGCTCAAAACATTCTTTATCCAGAATAGTCATAATCACGAAAAATGGACATGAAAAACCAGATCACATCCTAAAAACAAACAGC